GCGGACACCAGGCCCACCCAACATGGTACGCGCCACGCCAGACAGAGTGAAATTACATGATAATATTACTGTCACCAGAACATATGGGGACGTGTACAATGTTTGTTAAGTATCAGGTTTGCTATTCCAGATGACCAAAGCGTTTAACAACTTTTTTTCCCAATAACAGCGAATTTAATATGTGATAAAAAAAAATGAACGTTGAAAGAAAACACATAAAGAAATGAAAAACATATTATCATAAATAAACAAGAAAACGACAGTGTGAACATTCAAAACATGTTTAAACACCGACGGCATGGCACTGATGGCAAGATGAAAACTATCTTGGTCTGTTATTGGAACACCAATAAAAATGATTATAAGAATCATGTATTTTACAGTTCTGTTCTTATTGAAATGATGTGCAAAGTTATGGGCAAGGTTTCTTAACAACAGGATGTATTCATTGGATGACATTTAGGACAATACAATTATGTCCCCATGGCAACACTATTTAGCTAAATATCCTACTTCTGTAAGATAATGATTTTCGGATGTTTAGGTTATCTCCCTTTGATCCTCGGAGAATTCTGTATTCTCGGCATTGCGGAATTGCTTGTGCATATATGTATTAGAGCGTGAACCATGACTTGGCGATTTGTGATAGGGGATGACACAAAGGATATTTGTCACGAGTAAGATTTCCTGAAGAGATGTGAGACACTGACGATACATTCACGTGTAGTACTAAAATATATGTATATGTAATGGCAGTGTTATGTGAAGTACGATACTGATAACAATCCTTGAAAACCATACAGGCTGAAGCAAAGACATTCGTAAAACTAATGATATAATATCCTGGTGACGAAGGAAGATAAATAATTTGGTTTTGTTTGATAGCTATGAAACATATATATGTGTGTGTGTGTGTGTGTGTGTGTGTGTGTGTGTGTGTGTGTGTGTGTGTGTGTGTGTAAATACAAGTTTCAGAAAGGTTTGTATTTGTAAAAGTAAATAACATAAGGCACGTGTAAGAAAATGATAGGGAACAAGTGTTACACCATAGCAGTGTTACACTATAGTAACATACATTGTGTCGTCAGAATCTCAATTAAAACTCAAAGTCGATGAAACTAGGACAAAATATGAACAAAAGAGTTATTTACACGGAGTCTCCTGAATCAAGAGAATAAGACCAGGTCTCTAGAAGGGTGTGCGTCTTTTGCTTCAACGATGTATACCGCCATGTAAATCAATTATGAATTGTCACGTAATTAGATATTTCAAAGTTCTTTGGCGATTTCCGCCCAAAAGTGTGTTTGGCAATGTTAACATAATTGTTTTAAGCTCTGTAATTATAGCGTTGGAGTAAATTCAAAATAACTGCGTGTATATCATTTGTTTACTTATTGTTTAATTAAGCATGTGTTTCTACTAATGTCCCCTTATCGGCAGTCCTTCAGTTGGTGTTGCCAGTTACGTGTCGTGTGCTCTACTTCGTATCATTTACTTATACAAACAATCAATGTGAACGTAACGCTATAATTTTGCTACACATTAAAATGTCTCTCATATCGATGTCCATGTATAAATCATGCCAATTCGATCCTACATTAAAGATGACATGTTGGCTGTATGATACGTAAGTGTATTTGTTGTGTTCCATCTATTGCATATCATGTTTTCGGTTGCGAGTCCATAGCTCATGAATTCTATTTAACTGTTCGCCATAATGTTTTATCTGTTTTTTCAAACGTGGATGATGTTGCGAATCTATTGTCTACTTTTCTATGCTAAAACTCACTATTTTTAAAGATTTCGAATGGTTTGAGAAGTTTTTCAACATGATACTTGCAATATATCATTCTACATCTGTGCTTTTTTTGTTTTGCTTTTGTTTGTTCAATGGTGCATGATCATAACAGATAATCTTTCATATTTTACCTCCAACAAAAAAAATCTATAAACTACATGTGTAGCTCTGTACTCTATGACAATAGACAGCATGACATACCTACCAAACCATACGCAACGGCCACGCAATCAGGAGTTTTCAAAATGGTTTCGCTGGCATATTGCGGACAATGATTACAGCAATATAAACATGTCTGTATTGAGTGACATTCAGTAGTAAACCTATGGTATCGATTTTGTGTATGTTGAATCATTACCACGTTTCTCATTACACTGACTAAGAATTACACGTCTTTGTATATATACTTACCCTGATGGACAAGTCCACAATAAAATCGTGTCATCTTATAATTTCCTGTAACGTTATTGTTACCATGACCCGAAAAAATACCCATTAACAATACGTCGGTTACCAATATATTGGAAGACATTTTTTTCAGAATCGCCAACACAGTGTACCTTAAGTGAGTCAAATACAATTCTCACTGCGTTATGTCAAAGGTCAAATATTGGAATTTTTTAAACCAGGAGCAATGGATTCGTACGAAGTCATGTCAAAAGAAAGTAAAAATACATATAAACAATGTATAACAAGGAGATGTTCTGTGTTAACATTTATAAATATTGTCATTTTAGATGTATCGATTTAGTCTTAATGTCTTATTAATTTTAGATTTCCATATAATATTCAAGATTGTCTGTTCTGAGAGACGACTACAACAGCTTCAAATTACGAAAAGATGTTTGAATAATTAATGATTAATTCTAGAAAGCGAAAGGGCATTCCTACTTGATTGATGTCTGGCATTGATGCATTCCGCTATCTTTGATTATTACACAAAGAATTAGGTCATGAAACAAAATAAGGTCGCTATATTGTTACTGTTACTATGGAAATATGCAAATATATAGGTAAGTAGTTACAATCCCTTTGAAGGTCTTATGAGTAGTTCATTATCAAAGTCCAATTTTAAAGTGTAAAAGCATTACAGAGACTGACAAAAACACATGCTACAAACAGAACACTTGTGAGACTAAATACATGTCTTACGAATTAGACAAGCGGGCTCTGTCCAAATTTTAATATGTCTGATATCAATCAAGAATTTTACCTACCAGGACTAAAATTAGCTTGAATATCATACAAAGGTGCTCCTTGATGTAAGACTAGCAGCAAGGAAGACCAGGATTTCAGTGAGATGTCATTGATACACGGTTCAGTTTTGAAAATTTCCAAGAAAATCTCATTCGTGTAAACTCAGTATTTTTGGACAAATAGTACATTTTAAGGAATTCCATTTAGAAACTTAAATGAATGAGGTGCTGATCTTGTTAAATCATGTGTAATGTATAAAGGTAGTGCTGAGAATATTTTTACTTTAAGTTCGACTATCAAGTACTTCAAGGTTGCATATACTACATATCTGGAAAAGCTGTCTCCTAAACGAAAAGTTAACAGATAAAGATCGTTCTACAGTTTATTTAGCTTTTCGCCAGAATAAAAAACGTCCTTGGCTTATGTTTGTTAGCATTATTGTATAATTGGTACCGTCGGTATAATCAGGTGATTTAAAAGTAAACAATTACTAGCGATAATACAAGGAGTGATTTAATGGTAATTATTGGTTATGGAGGCGTGAAAAGATGTGTCTTACAAAAGTGAGGATTATGGGGTGTAACAAAGTGTCTTACAAACCTTTATTGCAGTTATTGGTTACTGAGGTGTGAGAAGGTGTGACGTACAAACGTTAAAGGTAGTTATGAGTTATGGAGTAATGCAAATGTGGGTGTTGCAAAGGTTAGAGGTTGGGATGTGTCATGACATACCTAATATTTAATCGTAGTAATGGGTTACGGAGATGTGAAAGGAGTATCTCACAGGTCACTAAGGCGACAGTATACTACCTACCAAGTATTACGTCAACGGAGTGTCACGTGATAGGGGCACATCATTTGCATCAGGTTTAATTGACAAAAACTGTATCAATAACAAAAACGATATTTGTACAAAAAGTAAATTAATGTATGACAAGCTCCACCTTGCGAGTAGTAAGGGCGAAAAAAAGGATGTGATAGTTTTCCAAACTGAGTCAAATTGGAAGACATTTTCTGAGTAGATGCAAGTTGTCATGAAACGTACTTGTTACGCTGGTATTTAAAACAAACAAAACTGCATAATGAGCAAACCAATAAATTGAATCGAACGTAACAATTGAGGAATGACGTCACAACTCCACGAGTGTTTTATTGGATACCAGTGATATAGCAAAATAATCATCATTTTGTACGAAGGTTGACATAAATCTACGTCAACCTTTCAAAAAAAGCCAATTACATATATAGGATATCATATAACTACGAAAAAAGGTCAAAACTAAAAAAAAGTATGGTCATGTGTCAAAACACAAGATTTCACTTTTTTCAAAAACTTACTGGAACTACGCCGTTCTTTTAATATTTTAAAGGACCGACGTTTGGACCCTGTAACCTGGCTCAAGTAAACCTATTATTCCAGAAAGAACAAACAAGAAGATGTGCGAAATATGAACCAATGACAAAACTAGGTCATATAACCAACATTTCATAATGAAATTATGACTAAGGCTGTCTGATCGTCTCAGACAACGATGTTGACTTATCGAGTGACAAAATCGTTTAAGTTTACAATTTTGTAGGTACTAAATAGGAACATTCAGGACTTTAAAATCTAATCCGGACTGGTAGGTTTCAACTGACATAATCGAAAAGTGATTTACGTAACCCGATATCATATTACAATGATTTAAATCATTTATCTAACATGAATGTCATTGTCTTAAAGTTTAGTATATTCACGACAAACACGTTTATCTACGGGTGTCTGTGGTAGACGCCGGTAACATTTCGAACTTATTAAGGCGATGTATACAGCAACACAGATGTATTTATAACACGACGTTAACAAGGGAGATAACCATAGACATTAAACCACAATTCAATTTGCAAGGGTGGGAATTCCTCTGTGATACATGAACTATTGCATGTTACACACATATACATGTATATATATGTATATATATGTATATATATATATATATATATATATTGATCTTACCATTGTCTTCAGTTTTTATGACCGTCATGTCTTTATATTAACATGTCCAGACCGTCTGTCATACACTATCTCATTGCTCATATCACATGCTCTTTGAACCAATAATTATATAACCGGAAAAGTACACCAGTGTTCCGATATTCTGCATAATCCGACAAGAACTTAAATCCACAAGAATATGATTGAAGACAAAATTGTCTAATCTGCTTGTCACTTCATTCCCTAAAACAGCACTTACGAATGGGATAATTCTGTTTCTGAATTTCATCTTCGATACTTTCGGGAGTATTTTCCAAACAAAATTTTCTGGAAGGCGTTTCGAAATTCTGGGCTGAATATTGTATAAAGAATCGGATTCAGCAAACTGTTAGCATAACCCAGCCAAAGTACACAACTCATTAGGTCTGCGGGAATATTCTCAGCGGCCTTGCCGACCAGCGGAGCAGTGAGTGCGATGATGAAAAATGGCAACCAGCAAATAATGAATGCTCCCGTAATGATGCCTAGAGTTCTTGCTGCTTTTCGTTCTCTTTTCATTTCCAACTTTTCTTTCTGCCTCTTTGGTTTGTCTTTCTCTTTGTTTACTGTTTTAGGAAGCATTGCCGTTTTTGCGTCATCGAATCCATTCGTGTTAACTTTAGAGTTTTCATTCTTATCATTGTAATTCTCCATTCCATTGCAAGATGTTTCGGCCACAGTTATCTCCGTATTCTCATTGCTATTGTGACCATTGAGTTTGGGCGAGTTGAAGAGCAGTTTGCTCTTAGAAGAGTGTTCCGCCTTGATTTTCGCCTCAGCTTTATTCAAACTTTTTTTATTAAAATTCTTCTTGCGAATACGTCTTCGGGCGACTTGGAATATTTTAGCATAAATTATCATCATGATGAGAGTTGGAACATAGAAGGCACCGAACGTGGAGAAGACAGTATAGCCGATATCCTGACTTATGAGGCACGTGCCCGTTAGAACGGGACTGTTTGCCGGTTCCTTCCACCCAAACAATGGTGGAATCGAGATACACATGCCCACCATCCATGACAGCGCAATCATGGAGAGTATGCGCTTTGCGCTCCTGTTTCTTACATAGTCGATGTTTGTGACAGCCCAGTAACGATCCAACGAGATGGCCACAAGATGAAGAATGGAAGCAGTGCAACAAAGAACATCAAACGAAATCCACATATCACAAATCTCAGGTCTGAGGAACCACACGGTACTGACTTCGTTCACCACACTGATAGGCATGACGAGGGTAGCGACCATGAGGTCAGCCACGGCGAGCGACAGGATCAGATAGTTGGCCACGTTATGTAGGTTTTTCTCCAGAATAATAGCTGCTATCACAAAGACGTTACCGATAATGGTGGCTAAAATCATAAGCCCAAGAACAATAGAGGTTGTTATCAGGTGCTGTAGACTCCTTATTTGAGGGCCGAAGCCCTGGAATCCTTCCGTACCGTTGGCGCCGTCGTACGTTGTGGCGTTGAACACTGCCGTCGTTGTGGTCTCGTTCTGACCAGGAAACGTCGACAAAGTGACACTGGAGTAAGTGTCGCTGTTGACAAGTCCAAGTACAGAAGCGTTCACGTCATTCTCTTGCATGGATCCCATGATAAACATGCTTATATTTGCGAGTGGTTCAATGTTCTTATATCCAAATTTCTACTACACCTGCAAATTGGTTGACTTAAAGAGGAATGTTCGTCAATGTTTTACGGTAGTAATATGGGAATAAATCAGTTTCTAAAGATTTTTTGTGGTGCCAGCAACTATAATCTGCTCACATGAGCTCGCTTTTAGCTCATGCAGAGGAATGATATCACACCCCAAACACATCACTCCTCGGATTGATTTCGATAAATTTCACATGAGATTTGCCAAAGTGCACAATAACTTTTCCCAAATAAAATTATGTGTTCTCAATAGGTATCGATTGGCTACGAATCAATCTTCGTTTTTCCTGAAAATAAAACTGTTTCGCTTTCTTAATTGTGTATTTAACAAACTCGTTCTCGTTGTGTTCCTAGCACGAGCTGAGCACAAGCCGAATGATCCCCATTACAACCTTTGATGGTAATGACTTCTTGTGTCCCTTTGAAGGCCGATATTTAAGTTCCGTTGTTTTTATTGAATTGTTTCCTGCTGTTTTCTTTCTATGGGCTGACTAAAGAACTCGACATGGCATTTCTAGTAACAAATCCCAGCACAAACACAAACAACACGTGTAAACATATCCATGCGAATCCACAATAATTATTGATCCGTGAAGAGGTCAGCTAGTTTTTTTTTCTTAATCCGACATCAGCTAGAAGAACTATTATTCAATGCGATGATAATGTAAATATTTAACCACAGGATCCCCAGAGAAATACTAGGTGTATAATAAGTATATGTAACTAAAATCCTTGACTGTACATATGAAGGCTCCCGGCTGAAAACTGGTCCTCTGTGGATTGCCTCCACAGATGATAGCTTGACACCTTAAGCTGATATTCATGTCAGGTATTGACCATGTATCGAATCATAACCCGGATTCATTATACTCATTACGTGAATCTGTCCCAAGGGGACCTTGTTCGTCTCCCAAAGTTCCCAAGCCGAACCACCTCTACAGTCACGGACATGCTATGAAGAAATTATCTGAAATGAGAAAAGGAACATTATTTGATTGTGTTGTCATACATTAACACCTGAAATATCAAGATCAATTCTCTTCGAAATGTAATAATAATTTTCCGATAATTGATTACATATATGAGTAAACTTGAAATACCTAATTCAATCCGGATTCAATTTGTGCAATGTAATATCGTGTTATTTGTTCTTTCTTAAAGTGAAACAAAAATAATGTATTTTATGTATATCTATCAAAAACACAATTACCGTCTAGCAGCTACAAAATAGACATCGTGCCGTGTGACACCTGTTAAGTAGTCATGCTATTAGTGATAGTACAGCGGTTGTCGTTTATGGTTATTAGCTAACATCAATACACTGCCATTACACAAACTGTTGTATAACAATAGAAATATCTGTAAACTGAAATAACATTAATCATCTCTAAGGTATACAAACCCCTGTACGAAGCATTTTATATGGTACCAATTTTCCAAGTATTAAAACCATTCATCAGTGTTAGTCACTTTGTACCGTTATTGAACCATGTTATAGACAAGGATCGGTGTCCTTTAGAGAGAATATAGTCTATTTGTCTTCCACGGTAAACGTTCTAGTGATTGACAGTAATAAACATACCCTGGAGACACGCTCTTATGACAACCTGGCGGCACCATGTGCGCATTGCTATAAGTAGCAATTGCGTGACCACGCCCATTGCTGCAACGTAAACGTGTACTTGTGAGGGTTTATTGTATTTCCAATATTCCTATACACAATAAAAGTACACGCATGGAATTTTTGTAGGCGTATTCTAGGTATAAAAAGAAGCATGTCAGACTCTGCCTTATTATATATTAGCTTGTTTTACGTAGAAGTGAACAGTGCATTTATTGCGTTTTGGTATAATTACGAAACGTACTTTTAACCAAACTATATGCTTCAGTTTCATTGCTTAAATTAACAATTATATTATTAAATTCTTACTAAACTGAGGTGAATCACTCGAAGCAGTTTTAAAATTTCCATAACCCGATTTAGAAATGATATAACGTAGAAGTTTCTTTATTCATCAAGAGAACATTCTTTTCGGTCTGAAAAAAATCAGTTTGAACAAAAAGCTGATTTGTTACAATCGTAAGTAAAAATGATAATCGTAATAAAAAACAAACAAGAAAAATCCATTTATAATCACTATTATATACAGATATATTATTGAGCTCGGTTTATCAAAAGAAATTAGTTGATGTCTTTTCCATCTTATGAATTTGTACCATTGTTCGTTGCAAAGCTTAAGGAATTGTTTGTTTCAAAGATTAATAAATGCCACCATACAGTAAATACGCATATATCCCAAATCACAACTCGAATTTAAAACAGGAAACACAACCAGACTGGTCCAAAACAAACTAAAGAGTCTAAAATTAATAAAATCGTATTACAAAATTTAATTTTAACCCAATTATGCATTAATGATAGGTTGCTGTACAAATATCAGTGTCCTTTTCTTAAATTTCATATTAATCTTGCTTTCAAAATATTTTATTTGCATAACGACAAAGCGTCTGGGCAACAGGAAAATTCTACTTCATAGATATCAAGTCATGTGACGTGATAGACTCGTGACTTTGTGATTAATTGTATTTTGAAAACTGTCACCACTTCCAAGTGAGAAATTATACACTGTACTGTACGTGTTATATATATAAAATGTAGACTGTCATAGTAAGCAGTTTACACATGCACACACTATACAAATACACACACTTACACACACATGCACACACTTACACAAGGATACTTACATGTACATTAATTACACACATGCATATTATTTCTATATCATAGTAGTCATGTCATTCATTTATCTACGTTGTTAAATATTATGATAGCTTAACCTATTTTAGCAAAAAATGTAGTGAGATAGTGCAGTAATAATATATATATTATCAACTTAGAGAAGAATATTTAATAGTAGGTGGTCGTGAGTTTCATATGTGTTATGTTGGCGAAGTATCATTTGGAGATCACTATATCTACTGCATACAAAGAAGAAGTGGTGATGTAATTTTAAAACTATTTTTGCAAGAACATGTGGGTAATCTTTGTGGAGGTCAATATTGAGATTGACATCGTTATTCCTTTGATAACAGAGACTGATGTTGATTTCTCGATTTCCTAATTGTTTGTAAACAAAGTTTGTTTTTTAAATTTTTCAAAGTGGCGCATTGATAAAATTAACATTTTGGAGATTAGAAGCAACGGTATTTGAGTTTATTGATCACGGACGAGAAGAAACTAATGAAATAATTCAGCATAAAGGAGGATAAAATGAGTAACTGATCTAAGCGAGCGGCGATTAGATCATAAAAATATGGCTCGACAACATCCTTCATATAATCAGGAGATTCATTCTATTGAATTCTAAACATTATAAAAAGTAACAATTCTTCTTCATTCTAAAATCACCCATCCTAATTCTTAGTACAAAATATGGTGTGACATACATCTATGCAATCCTATTGTTATGCAGGTGGCATCAAGTTGAACAGATTAAAAAAAAATTGGTAGGTTTTGTAGCCGATTTTCCCAGACCACTTCAGCATATTCAACTAAGGGTCTTATATAAAAGGTATATATAGTATCTGCGCGTCTATCTTGTTGATGTTTCATTATACTTAGTATACTTATTCCTACGAAAAATGTCATGGTGATCATTCAACCTACCATCGTCATTGAATATAAGGCAAAGTTTCTTATGGGTGCGGGTCAAAGTAATCGGCTCGTTATAAAATATATATGTCTGGATGATAAGAGTGATACTTTTCAGCAAATCTATATATATATATACAAAATGACACATTCAGGGTACAATGAGTTGTCATCAGCAAATAACTTTATATCATTAGAAACAACTTTTATCATCATTTATGTAGAGGAAAAACCGTGGACCTGAGACCGAGCCCTGGGATATCCCCGCAGATACAGGCATAAATATTGTACTCTTTTTTTTTTTTTTCCCCTACCGTATTAAAAACTTAACCGAAATAGTAGTTTCCCCTAAACAACCAATCATGCCATGCAAGATCACATGATCAAATGCCTTGCTGATGTCACAGAAAACAAATTTAAGCTATTTATACTGATCAAAGCAGTGCGGTACGATAAATAGAGAAGAGTTGGTTCCAAGTGGAATAATTAGCTATCAATACAGATTGATGCTTGTTAATAATATTATGTTGTTTCAGATAACTATAAAAGTACTCAAAGACGATTTTCTATTATTTTACTTAAACATGATGATGCAGGATATGCCATTTTCGTTTTATGGTACTAAAGCGATATTGATCTGTATTCTTTGTTGGATGCACCTATATCTAAAATATTATGCTGTTTCATATGATTATAAGTATTCAAAGATGATTATTTTACTTAAACAGGATGATGAAGGATATGTCCTTTTCTTTTTATGGTATTGAAGCGATAATGATCTGATTTCTTTGTTGACTGCACCTATATCTATAAGACACAAAGCTGGAGGCGGTGTACCAAACACTCCTATCTTCTCTACACACTACAAATGTGCTAACAATGAGCTAAGTACCTCCCATGAGTTTCCTGTTTTGCTTTGGTCGTTTACACCGTATGCGATATATTTAGTAGCCTCCGATCACACGGGTTACAGGTTAGAGTAATACATTCATCTAAATCATCGATAATTTTACGTTCTCCTCATGTCCTTGTGAAAATATTATATTTTCATAAATACAACTCTTATATGTTTGTTATGTGATATTCGGGTTTATTCATTCGCATTTCAAAACAGATGTTATGAAGTTTGTGCGATTTTAAAATCTTCCTACTTTCTATTTTTTCATATTTGAAAGAGTGAAACAGGCGAGAAATTGAGAATTACGTACACTAGAGCCAAACAATGAAGTAAATGACATCATACAGCTGTATCGTCCTTCTAGGACACGTCGGTGATGCTACATCATACAGGTGACTCGTCCTTCTCGGACTCGTCAGTAAGGATACATTATAAGTCTGTTTTGTCCTTTTAGGACTCGTCTGTGACGTTACATCATA